AGCACTTTTCCGGCCCACAGTCTCATCCCAGACATAGCAGTGTCCTTCATTGTCTTCTAAATCAAAGACTGTAAAATTGTAGACGGCGAGTTTTCGCTAATAGTATGATGCAGAAACTTCTGACATTGGAGTGGATAAGATCTTCTGGAGATCAAAACATGCCGCAACTACTGAGTTACTACATTTAGCAAGCGACTTAATTTGCGTTCTTCGCGCACCACAGTTTTGGAAGCGATATAATGAGTATAATTAAGCTGTAAACTTTCTGTTTGTGCAATCAAAGCCCTTTTATAAATATTACATGTTGCGCATATATCTTTCTTAGGTTTAAAGAAATCTATGTTAAATTCATTGTAGAATACTTCTCGATATTGTCTCTCGGTGTCTTGTATTTCTGGTGCATATTCATTATCCTGTAACCACTCTTTATTAAGTTGATATAATTTGGGAAACGTTAAAGATTCGTCAAAATATTGTTTACGGTTACGAGCCCTCACGTGATGTGACTCTACAACTTTTATATGAGTAATATGTGTCCTCACACTTTGTTTAATAACCTCAGGTACTTTGTTTGGTCGGTATTCGTGACGGCCTCGTTGATCGGCTAGTGAAACACAATCAGTTACTTCCATATAAACCTTTTTATAAATAGTGTTAACCCACTTATCTGTAAATATCTAGAGTATCGAAAAGCATCTTCTTACATACCTGAATTTTATCACCGTTTACCAGAAAGGAATATTTATATGACCAGCAACGCCTTGAAGTTGCAAGTGTTGCAAGTACTGTTTGTTTTTTAGGTATTCTTTCAACAGAGTTATTTATAAAGTGTACTTGATGATTATGATTCACAAGAGCCCAAAATTGTGAAAAAATCTGGTTTCTCATTTCTAAACATAACTTTTAAATACATTTTTTGGAACAGTTTTGTGTACACTATTGTTTCATTTGTCTTTCTCGCATTTATTGACCTTGTTGATTCGTGAATGCCAATCCTAATTTTTTTCCTTTTATTCAAGTTGCATTTCCAATTGTTGGTATAGCGTGTCCTCTTACGACCTGAAGTACATTTTCCAGGCATATCTCGTTTCTTTTTCTTATGCGAATTATGTTCTATATCAGTAGCTCTATATTGGGTTTGTGTATTTAGGTTTGTTTTGATTAAACCTCATCTATTTGTTGTAGATTCTTTTCTTTTGGTCCATCCGAATAGCTACTACCTACAACAAAATTATTTTTTGTATATCTACCTAAAGAACACAGAACAACAATAGAAACAGAAATTAACAATTTGTAACAAAAGGAAATTGTGGTCGTCCCTTAACAAGAAAAAAATAAATAGTAATGGATATTCTAAAAACTGACATCTTAGCTTCAGAACTGGAAGGTACATATTCGGACACATCGGCAGAGAAAGGCTCTCTATGACCACTAGACTCTACATCACTACCATTCGGGTCTAGAAATTGGTTACAACCAGGCCGTAAATTTCTTTTAAATTCGAATAAATCATTGCCATGTTGAATAAGTATTTCTTGAGATGATACATAATATGATGCATTTGCACATAAAGGGTTTTCTGTGACATCAAAATCTTTTTCAACAATGTCAAGTTTTCCATCTCGCCAGAAAATACATTTTGTTCTATATCTATAATAAAATATAAACTACTTATTTTTACTTACAAAATTATGGTTATGATAATTACTTACCAGGTTCAGCGTTTATTTCACTATTTTTCAAAGCTAATTCTGATATATGCCTATTACGACTCATTTTAAAAATATATCTCGATATTGAAACACTTGTATAGTTAAAAATATCAACTAAATTAAATAATGTACAAGTTACATTCACGTAAATGGTATATACTGTAACTAGTAGAACATAAACAAAGCAGCAACTCATATAGTATATGGGATTCCCCGGTAAACTACAATATTGACTTAAGAAATACACCGCATGTAAACATACGTACAATAAAGCTGTAACTTCTTTAGCAACCTTATGAATCGTCAAATATATAGAAACTAAAAATTTGACATAGGGAGTAACAGTGTTAATCCACAAGGAATCTACGTTCCTGTAGTTGGCTATGTACCATGTATTAAAAATTTAATTAAAAATCCTTTGTAATAGGTATATATTTAAGGCCCAAACGGGCTAAGTTAAAAAGACATAACGTTTTTGGAAACCCTGTTCCATCATCAGTGTCCTAGAAAATAGTTAACCACTTAATTAAAAAGAACATAGGTTAAAATTTTGACTAAGGTTAATGAAAAATGTGGTTAATACTTACTAGGAGTACATGAATGTAGCCACCAAGATTAAATATATGGGTAAAAACCCGTTAACAGATGTTTAATTACATTTAGTTTTAAAAATACGTTATAATTATTTAAGATTATAGAGTTACCGATGGATTAGGTAAAATGGCGACATATGACTCCACGTTGAAGTTGCTAGTCCTGAGACGGTATGTCTTCGAGGACTGTATAAGTGCATAGATAAATAATATAATAGTAGAAATAGATAGGCAACTCAATGTATAAATTTCGTTCATTAGGCCCCTTGCGGCTGGGGTCAATACTAATCATCTTTTGGCGGCAAATTCGAATGAACACCCCTTACATACATACCCTTTAGAGCCTCTTGTGGGCTATTTCGTTACTAATTAAAATTTATTGGAAAATAAGGATATAAGATGCACAATTTTTTTTAGATATACGTATATTTATTTGTTGTTTAAGATAAAACAGTTATAAAATAATTACATAATATTTATTACACATATTTGCAGAAGTTAAATACTATTATTTTTTGCTTTCTGACAACTTACTATCATTCTTTTTGTAATTTTTTCCATGATTTGTACACAACGAACAATACAATAATTCACCATGTTTAGTTTTTTTACTAGCACAACACAAAAATTCTTTGCTACAATAGGTAACCCAAAATAAACTTTAAAAATTAAGTAACCAAATTTAAATTAAAATTACTAAGAATAAATGCAAACGAAAGTTAAAGATAATAAAACAAAATTGAAAACTTGTAAACAAACTGTCATTACTTTGGATTGACAGAATTGACATTGCGTCGTTTGATTATTTTATTTGGTTTATGATTGGTTAAAGTCTTCGTGAGAGAGATAGGCTGTCATTTCTCTTTATTAACTCGCTGGGGTCAAAGTGATGGGGGAATGAACCAAGTCATTCATATAAGATTCCAGGCCATGGTATAAGTGCAACTGATTGGCAATGACATTTGATGACAATATTGTTAAGTTATGACGGAAATTATCACAGAGCAGTCAATGTAGCTGTATGTTTCTACTTAAGACAAAAGCCAACGTTATTTAGAATTGTGAAAATTAAGTGAACTAATATAACAGTATCAACCATCAATGTTGTAATTTTAAATTTATGTAAATAAGATGATATAAGGGAGAAAAAATTGTATGGTTGTAGTTAGGCAACCAACTATGCATGTATGTCGCAATGTAATATAGAAAATTTTTATTATATGGCCCTTTATGTTTCTTAAACATTTGGTACCAAGAAAATATAAACTAGACACATGTGGAAGGTTGAATTTTAGAAATTTTGATGTTAATGGTTGGATCTAAATGTATTTGTTTAGAATTGGAAGTGTTCTTGTATGAATAAACTAAAACTGTTTTAGTAAATGTTCACGTGCTATTTAACTTTTAACTCAAATATAAAGGCCCTGTATGTCAAAAGCAACATATTGCTTAACATATTGTAACTTAACAATATTGTCATCAAATGTCATTGCCAATCAGTTGCACTTATACAGTTCTCGAAGACATACCGTTTCAGGACTAGCAACTTCAACGTGGAGTCATATGTCGCCATGTTACCTAATCCATCGGTAACTCTATAATCTTAAATAATTATAACGTATTTTTAAAACTAAATGTAATTAAACATCTGTTAACGGGTTTTTACCCATATATTTAATCCTGGTGGCTAAATTCATGTACTCCTAGTAAGTAATAACCACATTTTTCATTAACCTTAGTCAAAATTTTAACCTATGTTCTTTTTAATTAAGTGGTTAACTATTTTCTAGGACACTGATGATGGAACATGGTTTCCGAAAACGTTATGTCTTGTTAACTTAGCCCGTTTGGGCCTTAAATATATACCTATTACAAAGGATTTTTAATTAACAGTGTTACTGCCTTTATTACGCAAATGGTACACGTAATTAAAGTACAACTCTTTTCAACGGAGTATTAGCGAAAATATTGAGAATTAAGCTATGTGGTTTATATTGACGTGTACGCAATTTTTCACTGAATTCGCTTGTGTTGAAATGTGAAAATAGATCTAACCAGATACAACCTTGTTCGATGGGGGTGTCGAAATGTTGGCCCCAGCGGACCAATGTTCGCTGCTAAGGTAACTTCAGTGTTGGTCCTACATATATAAACTACGTTGCAGTGAACGTGTTAAAGAATGTGTTTCTTGATTTTGTTGTTGATGATTCTTCGTCGTGTTTCCAAAAAATTTAATAATGTGTTAAATTGATATGAAGTTTGTTTTCTCCCTAAACAAGTCAATTATAAGAAATAATCATTCAGTTTAATTTTCAATTTCGTACAATATTTATTTTGCCGAAAATTGTTCTTGACTTTGTAAGTTTGTCTGATTTATTTTGTTCAATTATGGCGTGATGTCCTGCGCATTAAGAATGTTGATTTCTATTATATCATATAACTGTTTGAGTTGAAGCTCGGAATTGGAAAATGTTGAATGAAAAATATGTTTATTATATTATATGTTAAAAATATTATTAAAATTTATAACAGTGTATTTGTATCACTAATTTTATGGTAAAATAACAAACTAGCGTACTAACACAATTAAAGAAATTACTGTGATAAAACTTCCTGACGTGTATTGATAAAGGTCATCAATAAATGATACTTAATCGATGCATGTATACATTGTTTACAAAAATATCGTTTGTCAAAAGTATTTGTTGATAAGAACAGTCTGACCATTCTCATTTTCTCATAAAGATGTCAATTTTTGGTATTATATTACTTAGCTTAGCAATATGTCTAATCATCTTTCTTCTGGTTATTTTTAAATTCGGACATGTAAAGTGTGAAAGTAATGTTTGTTTGATTGGAAAAGTGGCTTTAGTTACAGGAGGAAGCTCTGGTAAGTAAGTTTTTTTATCATATATGGGTGGTGAATCGTCAAACGGGCTATAGGAAATTCAATGGGAAATTCAAAATTATTAAATTCCTGCTTCCCTAATTATTTACATCAAAAGTCATAAGAGACTATTTGTAAAGAACTAAAATATGTATTAAAAACGAATGTTAAAATTGTTCTACGAATTAAAAGTATTCCAAAATTTTGTAAAAATATAATACATTTTCAGGCCACCCCTTAAAGTCAGACCACACGAGGTACAAGAATGTGTATGACATGTTGCGTTTGACAAACAACACAGTTGATGAAAAATATATTGAATTGAGGAGAAAGTAGCAATAAAAAAATTGTTTTAATCAGGCATAATAAGTTTATAGATATTAAAGACAGTTTACAGGTATATAATATATATATATATATATATATATATATATATATATATATATATATATATATATACATATAAAACTGTTTTGGGTGGGTTGGAGTCTATAAAAGAGGCTATTTGTTACTCAAGCTTTCAAAATGTTTCTCTGAAATTTTAATTTTGAAAAAGTTTCTTACAAAAACAATTGAATTTGTAAATAAAATTGAATAGTTACAAATAAGCCTCAATTTCATAAAAACCAACTTAAAAATTTTTATCTTGGACAATTATATTGTCAAAAATAAAATTTTGTTTAAAAATTTTTTTTTGTTTTTTTTGTTTAGTAACAAAAAAGAAGAAGATTTATTCACCATTGATAGATGCCTGAAAAAATGTAACAAAATACATGAAAAATAAAATCAAAATGTGATATTTTACTGATTTCATATATAAACTACATAGAAATAATATTATTATAAATTTTGCTTAGATTTTGAATTTCTGACCTTTTGTTTAAATTATTATCACTTTTGCTAATACAAACCATTTCCAAAAAAGTTCTTTTAAATTTATTACTTTCACTACATAAAATTTTAATATTGTCAAAATCCATAATATGGTCTTTGTCTATTACATGCTCTGCCAAAGCACAAGATGGCTTCTTAATTATGCAATCACTTTTGTGAACAATAATGCGATTTGAGAAATTTCTTCCGATCTTAACAACATACCCAGCTTCACAATGAGTACAACTAATGCTGTATACTACATTTGTTTTATCTAATTTGTCTATAGGATACTTAGTTTTGGAATATAAAGATGAAATGGTTTTTATGTTCTCTGTTGCTATTTTAAAAATAGCTTAAAAATAGTTTTATATCATATTTAACTTCTTCTTCTTTTGGTGCCTATCCTCTGTGGATGTTGGCAATTACGTTGATCTATACTACTTTGTTGACAGCTGCTCTAAAGAGATGTATGTTAGTCATTCCTGCCCACTGTCTGATGTTCTTCAACCACGATGTCCTATTGCGCCCTTGAGATCTTTTGCCTTCTATCTTGCCTTGTAAAATTAGTTGAATTAGTTGATACTTCTTATTGCGCAACACATGCCCTAGGTATGTCATCTTTCTGATTTTCACGATACGCATAATTTCCAGACCTTTATTCATACGTTATATCACGGTGTTGTAGAAATTTCTCTAGAATCTCAGAAATAGCTCAGAATTTCTTATATCACATTCTGGATATAAGAAGTTCTGAGCATGCGGCGGTAGCACCTCATTTCGAAGGCTTCTAATCGTTTGGATGTTGCCTCCGTCAAAGCTTTGACCCTATATAAAAGGGTAAGGGTAGAAAATACATATCATCTTAAGACTCGTGTTTTTATATTAATGTTCAGGTGCATCTTACATAAAATCTTCCTGAGGCGATTGAAGACAGCTCTCGCCTTTTCTATACGATATCTTATTTCCGGTGAGTGGTCCATTCCTTATTTAGGGTGCATCCAAGATATGTAATTTTGTTGACTACTTTCAAGGGTTCATTATTAGCTGTGAATTGGTGCTGTATTAAGTCGTTTTTACCTACTACAAGAATTTTGGCCTTCTTAGGTCTATTAATGTTTAATTAAAACCATATCGCCCGCATATTTTAAATTGTTCATGATTTCACCATCAATTTTTAAACCTTCTCTTAAACCATCATGAGCTTCATCAACACTAAAGGTTAAAAAAAGGGGAGAATGGGAATAACTCTGATTGCTCTTAGTACCAGACTGCCAATTTTACTTGGAAATTTTCTATAATATTTCCAGCAGAACTACCAATTTACAATTAATTTTTGTGCTCAGGTGTACCTTAAATAACGCCTTCATTCAGCTAAAATATTTATTGCCTAGACGGTTAAGCTTGCCTGAAGTGTCCGAACTTTATAACTAATTGGTCAGTTATAGCTAGGATCTGCAAAAAGTCGCTTAAGAATCTTGCAGGGTACACCAAAATACCTTTGCTAAGACATAAAAAAATTTTGGTAATGATATTACTGATAGTCGTGGTAAAATATGTCTATCTATAACAGTTGGAATAATTATATTAAGTTACTTCGTAAATACCTAAATCAGTTTGCTTTTATATTTATTGGAATAATGAACAATAAAACAGCATTTATTTTGAGCCTGTGTAATAATCAAAACAATCAATTCGGTAAGTAACACTGATACCATAAATATTTTTGTTTATTTGTAATTAGAACATTTCAGAAAATTCTAAAATATTATTCTTCGTCTTTGTTAGTTTTTTAAGCCGAAATTTTTTATTTTGTCATTTGAAATCTTCGTCATGTTGTGTAAAATTTTTTTAAAAAGTTTATTTAAAAATTCTCATAACGTTTCTTTTTAGGAAATATTGATAATGATGAAAACCAATGTATACCTCTACCGAGTTCTTCAGATATAGAGGAAACACCTTTGTCCAGAACCTATTCATGGATTGAAAAGCATAGCCTAGTCCAGATTGGATGTAGCTAGAAAGAGAATGTTCCGTGTCAAAAGGATCTACAAAATATTCAGATAGTGCATGATTTAGAGCATGATTTAAATGTAGATTTCCAGTTTAATCAGAATGAATTAAGTAGAGAAATTTTGCCAGAAAATACTCAATTCCACGTAATGGAAAATTGGTCGGACGTACAGAATAATGTCAATATAACTCATTATTCTATTGCACAACCAATACAAAATAATGATATTTCGTATGAATCATGGAGCATGCTGGAAGGTTATTTTTTAAAAAATACTTGTTGACAAACTGTGTAACAGATACGGGCGAAAAATCACAAACGACAGTTAATAACAGTTTTGAAAATAGAGTCGAAAATGAAACCTAATTAAATCTTAGTGATAACAGTATAGATGATCCGAACTTTACCTGCCATTCAGATTTAAATAGCAGCGTAGAAAGCGATGACGAAACAACAGCAGTTCGAAGGAAAAAGAATATAGACGTTCCTACTCCTTAAGCTTAATGTAGAGGCAATGAAAAAACAAGTCGATCCAGAAAACAGAGAAAACTAGCTAAAGTATTACGAAATACAGGCAAGTCATATATAACAGAAAAGGGAAAAACAATAGCAGCAAGAACAATAAACCCGTTAAATGACTGCCGCCGTAAGTGTAAAATAAGGTTTTCTGATGACACAAGACGTTCACTTTTTAATGAATACTGGCAACTTGGAGACCGTTATAGAAGAGCAAATTTTATATCCTCTTTTTTTGCATAGTGGATAAAAAACTGTTTGAGTACGAAATAATTCTGACAGAGTACGAAAATTTTCATGTAAATATGAAGTTTCTGTTAATGGGAAGCGAGAAAAAATATGCAAGAAATGTTTAATTGCTACGTTTGGTAAAAAAAATGCCTTCATAAACCAAATTATAGTAAACAGACACTCGTCGGTGTCTGCAATAATCATAGACGATCAAAGAGGTCTGAATTCACCGAAAAATAAATGGTCACAACAAGTTTTAAATGAAGTTGTTGTACATATCCGAAGCTTTCCTGCATACGAGAGTCATTATTGTAGACAAACAACATCTAAATTATACTTACAATCTGATTTGACTATCGCCAAAATGTATCGACTTTATAAATAGAACACTGAAATAAAAAATTGTGCTTCAGTGACAATCTACTCTGCAAAATTCCATGAACTAGGGCTCAAATTTAAAAAGCCCCAAAAAGATACGTGTTCGAAATGCGATAGTTTAGCAATTAAAATATCATATGCAAAAGAAACTGAAAAGGAAAACTTAATCTTAGAGCAGAAAAAGCATCACGTAGCAGCTCAAGAAGCGTATAACGCAAAGTCAAGTGATAAAACTTTAGCCATAAATGATCCAACAACTGCAGTATTTGCTTTTGATTTGCAACAATCTTTGTCAACTCCGTATTTAAAAACATCCGTTTTATTCTACAAACGGCAACTCTGGACCTACAATCTAACTGTCTACAATTTAGTTACTGGTATAGCTACTTGCTATATTTGGAATGAGTCTGTTTCAGCCAGAGGAGGAAATCAAATTGCCTCATGTTTGTACCGACATCTTATGGATCTTCCATCAACCATAAAAAGAGTATGTTTATATTCGGATACATGCCAGGGCCAGAATAAAAACAGTCATGTGTCAGCAATGTTTATGAGCGTTTTAAAAAACAAAGTACAATAGAGTATATTGATCACAAGTTTCTTGTAAGTGGTCATACACATATGGAATGTGATGCAGATCATTCTGTTATTGAAAAGGAGAAGAAGAAAACTACAATGAAAATTAACCATCCGTATGATTGGGTACAACTTATTAGAATCTGTAAACAAAAGAATTCTTTTATAGTAAAAGTAATGGAATCCAACGATTTTCATAATTTTGCAGCATTATTTAAAACTGATTTGATACAAAAAAAGTAACAGAGAGTGGCGAAAAGTTTCTTTAAAAAGATGTGCAGTGGGCACGTTATTCTGCAGATAATTTTACAACTCTGTATTTCAAGTCGTCACTTAATAACGAAGAAGAATTTAAGTCTGTCAATTACAGAAGAAGAGCAAAACAATCAACTAAGCTTCAACTACTAAAGTTCCATGATGGGCCAGTTCCTACAAGCAAAGAGAAGAAGAAAAACCTTATGGAACTTTTGCCTTTCATAGATAAATAATTTTGGTCATTTTATCAAGAGTTGTTGGTAGCTGATGTTCCTGACATCGACCCCGATTTAGTGAAAGTCGATCCTGATGATATTTAGATATTTTTTGTGCTACTTTGGTTTATCATAAAATATTTTGATTAAAATTTTGTGTAATTATTTTAGATGTAAGCAAATAAATCGCACCTAAATGTGCCTAACACATATAAATATTTAAGATATTTTGAGATACCTCAAATTCACACCTATAGTACCGTTCCCGTCATAAAAAACTGGTACAACTCTTATAGTCAAAAACCGTGTTTTTAAGTTGTGTACGTTGATCTTGTCAGATATGTCATTCTGATTTCTCGGGCACCGTTGCCAGTTCAACGAAAATATTATATAAAACCAGATAAAAGCAAGGCAGTTTTGAGTATACTAAAAACTAAAACATTATCGAGCATTCTCGATCAGACAGTCACATTAAATTTGTTTAAACATGTATTTCAAAAAAATTCTCATATTAATTTTGTAATTTTCCATCATCTCAATTAAATACCCATACATTGATTTGTGTTTTATAACAATTTATGAAAATATTTCAATTCAAAAATAATGACAGATAGACAAACTTCAAATTATTATAATCAAACATTACAATAAGATATTGGATTGTTACTGTTACGTTTTGAAAATCGTTTTTTCGTACCGAACATTTTCTAGTATATAATACGTAGGATAAAGTACAATGTTAGTTTTTCACATTTTTTATCGTTCTTTTAATAAATAATTAATTAATCTTGTTAGCTTGCCTGTTACAAAACTTATTGACACAGAATTGTAGGTAGGTAATTGTTGGGTAGGTAATTGAAGATAAAATTACAGTAGATCCATTCCAATGTTCCCTGTGCTAATACCCTAGTTTAAGGATCTTTCAAACATTTTGGATAATAACTCAACCCTATCTCTGCTTATTTAATTTCTTAGATTCAGTGTTTTTGGTAATAATAAAAATAATACCTATCTAAAAATTTTATATCTACATTTTTGAACGTTATTTTTTTATTTAGATTTAGTGCAATTCCGTTATATGTACTGGCAACAACGAATTGATTTTTAAACACAGGTTTACATTGAGAAAAAAAAGTGTACCAGTTTTATATGACGGGAAGTGTACAACCATGAATATACGGATAAGTCATTCAATCTTTTCTAAAACTTAATTTAATATAACTCGTTACATTTGTATCCAATAATAGTCTCTTGTTCTCGTCAAAAAAAGTGCTTTTAAATGTTTAAACGTTATTCTGCGATTTTCCACGATCCCGTAAACATTGTTTCGACTCTTCTGAAAAATTTACTAAAATTGACTTATGTACTTATTCACATTAGCCAGAGATATACAGATTGAACCAAATTAAAACGGAACATACAATTTAATACATGTCTATTTAAACTGCATTTGAAATAGTGGACCAATATAAAACTTGGACAAAAATAAATCCATACCTGGGTATAGACATTGTATAAAATATCGTTCAACTATCTGTCTCACAACAATGTTGTTTGCGTAAGACGGGTTTGTCTAAGGAAACGTTAATAGTTCAGGAAATGAATATCGAAAAAAGTTAAAACCTGGCAATTTTTTCGTCCTGCATGTATCCAGTTGAAATTTTAACAGAAGGTAGGGGATAGCCCAAGGATCAAAATCTATATCGAACCGAAGTGCGCTGAAGGGTTTTAGGGGTGAAAACTACCCCTAATTGTCAAAAATTATAAAATAACATATTAAACCTGAATATGGGTAAGATTTGGTTTGAATTAGTTAAATAATGATTATTTTATACTTTTGAATAGAGTTCCATCATATTTCAACCCTTAAAAAGCAACCCTTGTTAGAGGTTAATGTAAAAAAATTACTAATTCTAAAAAAAATGATTTCGCCTTGGATCGATTTGGATAAAAATTTGGATTTAAGCTCAATTCACCCGCTGCTTTATAGTTTATGTCATGTCGACGAACCCTGATTGTTCTAAGGGTGAAAACTACCCGTAATTGTCAAAAATTATAAAATAACATATTAAACCTGAATATGGGTAAAATTTGGTTTGAATTAATTAAATAATGATAGTTTCGTGCTTTTGAATAAAGTTCCATCATATTTCAACCCTTAAAAAGCGACCCTTATTAGAGATTAATATAAAAAAATTAGTAATGCGAAGAAAATGATTTCACCTTGGAACGATTTGCATAAAAATTTGGACTTAAGCTCAACTCACCCTCTGCTTTATAGTTTATGTCATGCCGATGAACCCTGATTGTTCTTAGAGATGAAAACTACCCCTAATTTTCAAAAATTGTAAAATAATATTATAAATCTTAAGATGAGTGAAATTTGGTTTGGATTAGTTAAATATTGATTTTTTTATACTTTAAAATACAAATTCATACATTTTCAACCCTTAAAAATCAAGTGTTATGAGTGCTATAGGTGAAAACAATTTTTTGCCAAAATTTTGCAACTTTTCAACTTTTGAAAATCACCCTTTACAACATTGCAGTTTTTATAAACTAATTTATAAGATATAAATTAAAAAAAGTAGAATTAAATACAAAAAAATTTATCAACATAAAAAGGCACCATATTATATTCTTATACATTTACATAAATAGTAGAAAATATTTACATTTATAGGTAAAACAATAATAATATTAATTTTATTCGTCATCAATTACATCTTCATCGTGATCTATGTCATCCTCATCTTCAATTATTGGTGGACTATTATTGCACCCTTCACCTGAGCACCCAGAACAAGTAGAGTTACAGTATAAACCAACTTTTCTGCACCCACATGAAACACCGCATCCTTTTTTGCATTGCCAAAAAATAATTTTCAAAAGTTCATCGGGTGCAGGTTGTTTTTTCATGCGTACGGGTAATAATAAACCATCTTTGGAATACCATCCCCAATCTGTTGCTCTAATATTTTCATTGCCAAGCCATAGACATATGAGCAGATGTTTTATTCTGTTGTATGGGATTTCAAAATAAGAACGCTTAAAATTTCGAATGTATAACGCCCCACTAGCTAATATACCGGTTTTGTAAATTATTATGCTCCGAAATGTACTGTACTATACTAATAGAATTTTCCGGAAAAAAATTCACTGGTTTTTTGTAACGTATTTCCTTTAATTTTTAACGATAGAGTGTTTCTTCAAAAACGAGTTGTAGAGGTTTTTAAGAGCTACAAGAATCTGTGAATTAAATCTTTTTGGAACCCTTGGTTTTTAAATGGGGTGAGTTTAAAGGGCTCGAAAAAAATGGTGCTTGATCGTAAATCGATGCTTTAAACGGCTATATCTCGCCAAATATTCATTGTACAACAAATCTAAATGAAGGATAATTTTAGTCATTAAAAAAGCTACAATTTGGTAATTTGTATTTTTTTCATATATTTAGTATTTTCGGGCATATTTAAAAAAAGAAGGGTAAAAAATATGAAATTGTAAATCGTTTCTCGCTTTAAGCCGTACTTTTTCTAACACAAAGCATCTTAAATGAGTCAAACTTCTTGGACGTATTAACAATACACGTAAAAAGGGAATTTCAGAAGGGTAAAGATTGATTTTAATTATGGAGGAGGTTAGGGTGTTGTTTCGATTTTTTCGTAAAAAATGAGGTATTAACCTTATTTTCATCATAACTCACTCAATTTTTGAGCTAGAGCCTTTTTATGATAGGTCTATTTATGCTCTTTAAAAAAGGTTTGGTGGGTTTTCTTCCAAAGTGCATCATTTTCCCGATATTTGATTTTGAATCTTTCAAATTTGGCATTTGAAGAAAACCGCTGAACATTGATAGGCCGTATTTCGGTTCCTATTATATCACAAAAACATTTTAAAAAATGAATTGTATTTGTCTTTTTAAAAGCTACAAATTTGTTCTCTACAATTTTTTTGATAAAATGCACCATTTTCGAATTATTCGCGAAAAATCGATTAAAAACGTGGATTTTTTCGTCTAAAAGTTATGACTTTCAATCGCGGATAACTTGAAAAATATCATTTTATAAAAAAAATGTATAGCACATTTTTTGTTTAGAATCACTTTTTTAATCGAAACCTGTAGTTAAAACGTAAAAAAAAATTTCACCCCGGAGATGGGGTGGCAACCACCCCCTAGGCTTTGGCGCACTTTGGTTCGATATAGATTTTGATCCTTAGGCTATTAGATATCTTCTGTTAAATTTCAAGTCAATCCAGGGAGCACGAAAAAATTGCGAGCTGAAATGCTTCATTTCCTAGACTATAACTGGTTTGACAGCATAAATCGTAGTTTTATGTGTAGCTTTCAATTTTTATGAGTTCAGAATCCAGCAGCCCGCTGAATCATTGGATTTTTATAATATAATTATTTGACAATATTTTGTTGGCCAACCACCTACAGCAGAATTGAGCCGAAATACATTATATTCCTATGTTCCGAATTTATTTCGTTCAATCTGTATGGTCTTTCCTGTATACCAGAAACGTATGTTTTAAAGTTTGTTTCATAACCATACAAATATTTTTAATCATTTAAATCTTATTATAGTATTATATTTTAGGCATTGGCTATCAAATTGTCCTACAGTTGGCTTCAAGAGGTTGCAAAGTTATTATAATCGACAGAATAATAAACGATGATATTAAAAAGTCCATTATCAAGGAAACCCATAATACTAATATAATACTCGAATATGCAGATTTTACTTCGTTTAAGTCTGTAAGAGACGTGGTAGAGAAAATAAAATCTTCTGAAGAAAAATTGGATATTTTAATCAATAATGTAGGAATCGGCAAAGCTCCAGAACATCCAAGTGAAGATGGAGTGAATATGACGATGCAAGTCAACCACTACAGTCCGTTTTTACTGACACATTTACTATTTGGTAAATATAATTCTAGCAAAAAATTATATATTCCGCACATGATTTCTGTATTTTTAGTACAAGTTCCATAAGCATCTTGAAAACGCCTAATTTTTATTTGACTACTTATTTAGATAGCAACATTTGCTTTTTAAATTTATCACTTTTCATGTACGGAAGTTCGTAAATGGGACCTTTTGGAAATATTATTTACTTAATGTCGCCTCTTCCAGGCTAGCCGAACCTGTCGCCTGGTTTAGTGATTTTCCTTATATTGAAAAAGACTGTATCCTCATATTACCTGAAAATGTAAACTGTTCTATTTACTGATAGTCTATTGAAATGATAAATTTTTTAGGTTTAATTTAGCGTGCATTTTTAAGAGAACGCAATTTTATTTTTTTTTATGTGTTAGGAGGATAAGTATAAGCTTAAGTTCAAGTTTGTAGGGTTGCCACCCTTATCCTCCGGTCGCCATCTTAGAAAAAGAGGTACAATGGTTATCGTGCTGTATCTCGTACACTAGCCACCCTACAGAAATATTTTTATACTACGTTATTTGTAGCAAATTAAATTGTCTATTATAAGTTTATTTGTGTAACTTTTTATCGTAAAATAGAAAATAAAAAAGTTATAAGCAAAAATTAATTTTTATTTTGAGGCTTATAACTTTTTTCTGGTTATTTTACAATAAAATGATATTAAAGCAAATATATAGAGAGTTTTTTTACGAAATAATTATCACTACAAACTTGTTTAATAATTAATCTTATAATCTTGTTCACTAATCTGGGTCTTACAATGATCTGAAGTTTACCGGTCTCTTGAATACTCACCAGCTTCGAAAAAGGGGTGCAAGTCGCCCTTTATCTAGGAGACTATCAGCCCTACAGAAATTTTAATCAAACATTATTTGTAGAAAATAACATTGTCTATACATTTATTCGTATTATTTTTTATTGCAAAATGGAAAATAAAAAAATCATAAACAAAAATAACTAAAAATGTTTGAACAAATTTTCTTTTGGTCTTAAAATGACGTAAAGTAATATTATAGAGGGTCAGTATAAAATTAAAAGGGTGGACAAACCCGTTAGCGGTAGCTGGTCCTCCAGGATGGGGGTTAGGGTATTAGGCTAACTCTACAGTACTTGTAAAAAATATAAAAATGTTAAAAAACCCAATCACATGCCTCGGAATAGGACGGCACAACAAAGACGATATAACCTTCGCAAAAGGACACAATTTTTTGGTACATGGAACGTTCCAGATAAATAAAAAAAAACTCAATAAAGTCTTACATAAATTAACAGAACTAAAAATAGACACAGCAGTCACTACCTAAACAAAAAAGAAGGGAATTGGCTCTGAAAATCTAGGAAATTATGACAATTTCTATAGTGGAGTACCTGTCAAGTGTGTACCAACGCAATTCTACCCGAATTTGCGTATAAAATGCACGGTTCGTATATTACAAAATTAAACTTCAAAATTATTGAAAATCTATATTTGCCAGTTCCCAACAAAACAATCTTCTTTTCAACTGCCCGCTCAATGAAAATCTTCCATTATTTATATGAAATCATGTGCTAAAATGGAACATCGTCGAAGGTTCGATGGCATTCTCGACTAGACAGAGCAGCGACTGGTCTCAAAACTGGTATGTTTTTCATCGGCTCGTCCCCAGAAAGTTCGATTGTTGTTTTGTTTTTAGCGAAGGGAACCCAAAGGGTGTCAGGTAGATTTTTGACCTAGAAATTACGAGAATCAATAAAAAAGAATTAGTCATAAAAAAATTTACAGTTCTATACGCCATAACACAACCAACCAATAACAAAAATAAAACCAGAGACACAAGTAACAACAGGATTTACAACATCAAAAGGATTAAAGCGAGGGTGTTGTCTGTCCCTCACTTTATTAAAAATATATCTCAAAAGTGCTTTAAAAAGATGAAAACAAAAATGCAGGATAATGGGGTTACCGCTATGGTATATAAGCTGAACTTTGCAGACGATCAAGTAATAATTGCTCAAGAATAGGACGATTTAAACTATATGCCACGAAAATTAATTAAAGAGTATGACATATGGGGTCTACAAGTAAATAAAAAGAAAACCGAATACCTGTGCATTGGAGTAGAACAAAAAGATCTCATGTTAGACGATAACACCACGATAATGCACTGCTCTACAAATACAAATATTTAGGTATCACTGTTTCACAAGATGTAACATTAGAAAAAGCCATAAGAGAGACAAATACGTCAAGGAGAAAAGCCATCTCAGTATCAAACAGCATTTTATGGGACAATCCATCAGCATAGAAAATAAAAAGGGGATAAATAAGACTATAGTAAAAAGTATCAATTTATACAGCTGTGCGGTATGGCCACTGAAAGAAAGAACACTGGCAACGCTGAAAGCGAAGGAAATAGATTTTTGGAGAAGAGCCACAGAAAGATCTAGAAGAGAAAGGATTAACAACGAACGCATTAGAAAAATAATGGGATTCAAACGAAAAATCACAGATAACCTAAGAACAAAACAACTTATCTAGTTCGGACACATACAAAGAATGTATGAAAAACGAATACCAAAATTAAAATGGCAACCAGAAGGAAAGAGAAAACGAGGTAGACCGAGAAAAAGTTGGAGCGAAGGAATAAATAAAGAATTGAGAGAGAGGACCATAAAAGAAGACCTATGGAACAACCGGAATATGTGGCGATTGAAAGTCGGAAAACAGCGGAGAACGTTATAAACCGACAAGTAGTAGTAGTAGTATATTAAAGAGGGTTTTCAGCGAATAACTTTTACTACAAATTTGTTAAATTTACAGAATAAGAAAGAAAAAATACAATAAAAACAAACCATTAGGCTTAGTTTTCTATTATATATTTTTTTATTCATTTATAATTTATCATTTTGTTAACACTACTATATTATTAATTGGTTTATCGACTCTTTTCCTGACTTCCTATGAGGTAGAGTCTGGAGGCGCATTTTTTCATATAGTATCCTCATTAGGCCCAATCCACGTATAATTTTCAGGGGCATAATATTGAGCATAATTAGGTATATATTTGTTTTACACTTATTCTTTTTTAATTTTCTTTGATGGTCCATGCTACGGTTTCAGAGGTGAATTTTTGCGGAAGAACGGGGGTTAGTCTTGGGGTTATTATGAGTTATTCATCTTAGAATTCTGATATTACTGCAGGTTTCATCAGAACAATTCAGACGAACTGCAGAGCATTTAAGGCCTTCTTCTTCTAAGGGTGCCTGTCCGTTCCGAACGTTGGCGATCATTCTGGCTATGATGATTTTGTTACTTGCTATACGAAATAGCTGTGTTGAGGTCTTTCTATACCATGCTCTCAGGTTAGCAAGCCAGGATATTCTTCTTCGTCCTGGGGCTTTTTTTCCAATTTTACCCTGCAAATTGCATTGGAGTAGCTCGTATCTGCCTTGATTTCTCATAATATGTCCCAAGTACTCCAGCTCACGGCTCTTCACAATGTTGACCAAATCCGCGGTTGTGTTCATCCTCCGCAGTACTTCTTCATTGGTGACTTTGTCTGTCCATGGTATCTTCAGGATTCTTCTGTATAACCATAATTCAAACGCCTGAAGTTTTGATAGAGTTTCCGCCTTCAATGTCCACATTTCTACTCCTACAGAAGCACTGAGTATACGTAACATTTAAGGAACCTTATTTTTGTTTTCAGGGTGGGGTAATGGCTTTTGAACACAGAGCTCATAGCCAAGAATGCACTTTTGGCCTTTCTGATGCGACATTTAATCACTTGGGTATTGTCCCACGACTCATTGATTATAGTTCCCAAGTAATTGTATTGTGAGACACGTTCAATTCTCATTTGGTTCACATACAGATTTGCTCCAGTTATGTTTTCCTTGCTGATGATAATTAGCTTGGTTTTGCTGGTGTTTATATCCAGTCCATAGGTTCTACTTGTTTCTGTTATTTTGTTGATTAAGTTTTGCAGCCCTTCTATGGTATTGGAAAACACTATTGTATCATCTGCATACCGCAGGTTATTAAGCTTGACTCCATTTATTGAGATGCCTTCATCAATATCTTTTAGGGCCTCTTCAAAAATGTGCTCCGAGTACAGATTGAATATCAATGGTGAAATTATGCACCCCTGTCTCACTCCTCTTAAGATTTTGACCTGTTCTGTATATTCTCCATCTATTCGGAGTACCGCTGATTGATTCCAATACAGATTTGCTATAATTTTTAACTCTCTTCCATCAATCCCCGTTCTCTTCAGCACTTCCATCATTTGTTCATGCCTGACTCTATGGAAAGCCTTCTTGTAGTCAATCAGGCATGCAAAAACATTACAGATGACATTTTTACATTTCTGAAGCAAGATCTGCACGCTAAATAAAGCTTCCCTCGTACCAACGGCGTTCACAAATCCAAACTAATTGGGCGCAATTTGTTCCTCGCATTTCCGGTAAATTTGAGGCCTGCTTTTCAGCAATTACACATACTTCCACAGTATGTCTTGCATCTACAGAAAACAATTTTAGAAATAAATTCAGTAGGTGCTGGAGTTTAGATAGTTTAGATTGGTATCCAAATTGTTTCATTCTTTTTTAGCCCCAATCATCAGGATCCGAGTGTTTGCTGAGTCACGACTAAACCTGGTAATAAATTCAGACTGTTTTAGCGGGCTGTATCTTGTGCTGGAGAAAGCGATGATAAGTTAAATGTATTTTTGGTCGCTGTCTTGACGAATTGTTTGTATGTCATGCTGTCCAGAGAATCATTTTTATTTTTAACATATAAATAGACAACAAAACGTATGCTAACGAAAGTAAGCAAAGATGGCTCGACTTTTTCACTGAGAGATAATGCTGTTGCGCTAGCTAACTAAGGATATTATGCATTTGTGGTTGAATGAAGTTGATATTATGAATTTTATGAATTATGAATTTTGATGAATTTAAATTTGCAGTTCTTGTAAGATACTGATGTTCTGCTGCATCCTAACAAAGCGTGGAAAACAGCAAATTCTCTGCAATGACTTCGACATATGTAAATCTTAAAGGACAGTGTAATTGATCCTACTTATACCCTTTTATAGGTTTTAAAAAAATACATTGGATTGCTTCCTTTCTAATGCCGTGAGCAAGACAAGAATGCCAATGTACTCTACTACGACAGTCACAGAATCATAGAATTGGGATGCAGCAATTGCAGAACGGATGATGGCTGTATCTGCATCTGATTTAGCCTGGTCGACACCAAAAATCCACTTTAAGTAGAGCAGTTATGAGAAGATCTATTTAGTTTATTTTATTCTTTTCACTACCAAAACATGTATGTTGGGAGAGATAATGTTGGTACGGTGCTCTTATTAAAATTTATCTATTATGTTATTTAGTGCTTTTTCATATAAAGTAAGTACACGAGATGTGGTAAGTTGTCTAGTGGGGGAAAATATTGGGAAGGAAAGGATAAAAAGTATATAATAAAAAACTAAGCCTAATGGTTCGTGTTTACAGTAATCCTAAGAGTATTCAAGAACCCGGTCAACTTCGGAGCGCTGTAAAACTCAACGCTGTGAAACTCTTTGCACAAGGGTGGCGACCTTATAAACTTAAACTTAAGCTTATTACAATGCCCCTACATAACAAAAAGAAAAAATTTGACCTGACTTAACACAATGAAGAACGTTTCCCACTACAATCTGTTTAAAATTACTTTATGTTTGCAAACAAACGGACGGAGAAACAAAAAACGTTTGTATAAATTAACGTAAATATTAAAATGTTTTAAAAGTGTAAAAAAATATACTGATACAACAGATTACTGAAATATATAACCTGGTTCTTGAATGGACCCTTCGACGGACGAAAACCTTTCCCGAATGTCTAGCGTTATGATAGAAATGATAGGTTCTGGAAAAAACACAAGAACGAATATGCTTAAAAATTATAAATGAGATATTATTATTGCTATAAAGGAAATATTGTGTCACTGGACCAATTACATCCAACAATTATTTAATGATGAAAGAGAAAAACTATCATCAGAAACCACAGAGGATACCGGACCACCAATAATACGGGCAGAAGTCATCTATGCCATCAAAAACACAAAATAGGGCAAAGCTAGCGGACCCTATGATGTGTCCGCTATTAATTAATTATTAAAATTCATTGATGAAGATGATATTGATGTAATGGTTGAACTCTTTAATCTAAAATATCAGACTTCCACAATCCCCATACAATCGTTGCAATCGACCTTTGTGGCAATATTCAATAAGTCAAGTGCAATATCCTGCTCAGATCACAGAACAATAGCTTTAATGAGTCTCACACATGAAACATTTTTGAAAATAATACACACCAGAATTGTCAAAACTCTTGAATATGAAATTAGTGACACACAATTTGGCTTCAGAAATGGTATGAACACAAAAGATGTTTTGTTCGGCTTAAATATATTGACCCAAAGATGCATGGATATGAATCAGAACATGTACTTAACATTTGAAGGTTTTAAAAAGCCATTTGATAAGGTTAAACATACAAAGCTTGTAGAAATATTAAAAACCAAAAATATTGACAGTCGTGATATGAAAATTATATATAAACTCTATGATGGAATCAAACTGCCATGGTAAGAGTTGATAACCAGAATACCTGAAATATCAAAATACAGAGAGGAGTCCGTCAGGGAAGCGTGCTGTCACTACTACAATGTCTACAGTGAAGCGGTAGTTAAAGAAGCACCCTGATTCAATAGAAGGTATATCTACCAATGGAGTAGTTTTGAATGACTTGGATTTAGCAGACGATTTAGTAATAATGACGTATAACATCAATGATTTACAGAACGTAATGCAACGACTTAATAAAATGCTGTCGCGAATACGGACTAAGGATGAATTCGAAAAAAACTAAATGCATGATCATGACTAAATCAGCAGACGCAAACATCCAATTGATTGTTAAGGATACTGTAATTGAGAGTGTGGATACCTACAAATACTTAGGAACATGGATAACATTAAATATAGACCAAACCAAAAAAATTAAGACACGTATTAAAACAACACGTGCATCATTCCTTAACTTTAAAAAGTTTCTTTGTTGTCAGGATATAAGGTTAGGACTACGCCTAAGAATGTTTCGCTGTTAAAAAAAGTACATCTAAATAAGTTTACCGCCTTTGAATTTTGGTGTTACAGAAGAATCCTACGAATATCATGGATTCACAGAATGTCAAACGCAGAAGTCACTAGACAAATAGGAAATGAAGCTGAAATAATATTGACTATTAAAAGAAGAAAACTTGCGTACTTAGACCATCTGATAAGAGGGCAAAGATACTCATTATTGCAGCTTATTATGCAAGGCAAAATTCGAGGAAAGCAAAAGGTGGGAAGACGAAGAATATCGTGGCTTAAGAACTTGAGGAGAGGGTTTGAATGCAGTAGTGCCAAACTATTTAGAGCGACAATCAACGGGGTTCACATAGCCATGATGATTTCCAACCTTCGATAGAAGATGGAGTTTAAAGAAGCTGTAACATCTCCACTTATTTAGTAATTGCTCTGTAATACCTATTGTACAATTTAAAACTATTATTTTTCGCAATCATTTCCCACCCAATATTATTATTATCCTATTTTTATTGGTAATTCCAGCTATACTTCATCATTATTGATATTCTGTTTTTTTACTAACATTTAAGCCTTTTCTTCACTGTTTTCACTGTTCTCGTCTTTGCTTTAATGTCCTTTTTGCATTACATAATAGCACCACATCATTAGCGGGCGCTAAACATCAAGAAATGCCAGTATAAAATTTCAATATTCTCTTATTCAACACACACACTCTCTTTCTCTCTTTCTCCCTATCTCTCGTCGACAACGTTTTTCCATCTACTGCTGAATATAGGTCTCCCATAATTGCTTCCATCTTTCTTTAACTTGCTTTAATCTAATCCACTGTCTTCCTGTCAGTGCTCTTTTATCATCTACCCATCTTTTTTGAAGTCTTGCCAGACTTCTAGTCGTTCCCTTTGATCTCCATTCTATGATTCTTCGTGCCCACCTGTTATCATCATATTTTATCTGGCTATATGACCAGCCGAGCGCCATTTCATTTTCGTTAAGTCTTTCACTTTACATCTTCCACACCTTCGTTCTACGCCTTATCTTGTGTTTTTTGGTCTTATCTTTTAGTGAGATTCTAAAGTTGTCCCATTTTAGTTTTTTAAATGTCGTCGAGAAGTAGGGATGAATAGTTTAAGAGAAATGCCACTTGTCTTAATCACCATGAGATTCTATTTTTATACTATTACTATTATTTATATTTTATACTACTCAATTTTTATGGAATTCATAGTTGAGATTTTATCCACGATTTTTCTAGAGATTCAACCACAGCCATAATACTATGGAGTTGGATCCTTTTTGAAAATCTTAGTATTCTTACGGTGTGCAACTAATCTATGCTAATAAAATGTTTTAAATGTTATGATTTTGGTTAGTAATGTATACAGGTGTAATATTAAGGATATTAATGATAATTCTCGATGGACCGTTTATCTTTTTCATTGAATAGTAAAACGACTTTGTAATTCTTTCATTTTTGGGAAACCTTTCCTTCGTCAATAACTTTATTAAATAAAATATTTTTAATACCCCTTTAATTTTTCTTCAACAATTTCCAACATTTCGACCGTACTTTTATCCTCTACGGGATATTTATTATTTTCTAGTTGATTTAATTCAAACCTAAATTAAATAAGTATCAAACACCCGTTCTTTGTGCAACCTTACTTTTATTTTATAATATTTATTAAGAAACCACCACTTTTGATGTGAAAAGTATATGTATATTTTTTTTTTTGTTTTAAGGTTTGCTTAAGAAATCATCCGATGGAAGAATAGTTTTCACGTCATCTGTAGCATCTTTTCTACACACGACAACTATAGACTCCATTACTGAAAATGAAATAAAGTTATCAAAATATAGAATGAACGATTATACTTGTGGAAAGCTCTGCACCGTTATAGCTTCTGATATATTCGCAGAAAAGTTAAAGAAATATAATATTACTTGTAACACATATCATCCTGGAGTTGCTAGATCAAATTTTTTCAACAACTGCTACGTAAATTTAAACCAATTTAGTTTAACTGACTGGTGGTCGTATGCAAGTATTGTTTTTCTTAGAATTTTCGTAGGAGTGGTGAGTAATGACTTATTTTGTTTTTGTTAACATTTCCATTAATTTATTAATGCAGAAAGTTGTATTATATATATTTATATCAAGAGGTTTGAATATTATTTTTATTAACATTGTTAACTTGCAGAAGATTTCAACAGTAGGGTAGGAATAAAAGACGAAATATACGGTAGACATATAGGACCATAATATGGAAAAATGATCAGAAATAACAATGGAAGGAGATTGCTAGAATTCTGCACTTTAAACAGTATGACAATAACCAACACATTTTTGCGTTGAGAAAGAATAATACCTAAAAGATATAACAAATGAAACGTGCAATAAATATAAAAGTAAAAAAAGGAAAAATTTTGGTAACAGCAAAGAGAGACAATTGGGAAAATTAAGAAATTGAGAACATTGAAGAAGGTAGCATAAGTAACCAAAAGATATTCTACAGAACCCCGAAGACGATAAAATACAAAAAAAAAAAACATGAAATATACAGCATTAAAAATAAAAATTGAGAATTAATAACAAAAACAATAGAATTGGTTAAAAGATGGAAACAACACTTGGAAGAGCTACTAATGGATATAAATCAAGACGTCATTAGTGAAAAACAAAATAATGTATTGAAAGATAACACAGAAAACTTATAAATGAGAAAAAACTAGGAGAAGTAATAAAAACGTTGAAGTATGGAAAAGCTGAGTGGATAAAACAATAGAGACAAAAATTATAAAAAATATCGATAAAAATGGAGAACAATTCTTTATTATATATCGGGAGTTCTCGCCTATATATCGGGGATAACGGACAGAGTTGGGCAAATACTTAAAAAAGTCAATGTAAAGACCATTTTCAAGCCTACAAAGAAAATCAAGGACTGTTTAAGATTGGTGAAGAACAAACGCGACCCGTTAGCAACGGCCGGAGTATACCGAATACCATGTACATGTGAAATGGTATATGTGGGAACCACGAAAAGACCATTGTAAACATCACAGTACTACCCACTGTTGTATCGGGAAGCGGTAGAAATATATAAGCACCCAAATAATTTCAATCGGATAGAAGGACTAAAAATCAACAACTCATAGATACCAATATTAAAATCCACAAACACTCTTCCGCAAAACACGAAGAAAGTAAAGCTACTACAAACGACGACACACCCCCTCACGCCGAAACCTACCCCTCATGACAACCCATAGTGTTGGCGAAACGTCGAGAACTAATCTCAGAATACAACAAAAAATATACAAAAGATCAACAGTGGCCTAATTTACGATAAATAAAGGCTTAAGACATTGAGGAGCACTTAGCACAATTATTTATAATATTTATGGACGAAATTATTAAGACATGCAAGAAGTAATAAATAAAATGTAGGGTTTAGAAATCTGCAAAGAAAAAAAATTTCGAAAAAAGTATTTCCTGGCTATTTATTGCTAATTGCAAAAACTGTAAAAGAACTTCAGAATAATTTAGAAATATAAAAAGAAGTATATTCTCACTGAAAAAGGAATGACGATAAATATTAACAAAACAAAAGTTATGCAGATAGAAGAAACAAGATAAGAACTTAATATAGAAATTAAAGGAACAAAAATAGAACAAATTAACTTTAACTTCCTTATAAGTAATAATAGAAGAAGCAGGATCATTGGTGGCAGAAATCAATAGCTGAGTAGAGTAAATGTTATAACTGTATCATACAATCAGTAAAATATGCAAAATTTATATGCAATAAAGAAATATCAGGGGAAGAATATTACGGGATAAAAAAATGAAAGGATTGATTTTCTAAGGAGTTTACAGACCTGTACTGACTTTCGGCAGCGAATCATGGGTACTAACCATCGAGCAAAAAGACAAAAAAAGGAATGTAAAGGTAGTGGGGCCAAAAATATTGTTAGACAGGAAGTACCATCTTGAGAGGCCACATTAAACAAGAAAAGAGAGTCTTTCCTTGTTTAAGAAATCAAATTTAGTTGGATTATGTTATTGTTTGTCCCAACTGTCACAGGAAATCTTATTTATATTGTTTTTTAACAATTGTGTCACATTTTAGACTGTTATTGTTAATATTTATTTAAATTTTCTCGTCTAAGACACATTTTGAAAACTATTTTATAGCTACTGTTAATAAGTGTCGAAAAATTTAAATTTGGCGCAGCCACTTTTTTGGTCTCATTTTCATAACGATTAGATTTCCTCTTTTGTCTTTTTGCTCGATGGTACTAACAGAACGGAAAAAGAGCAAGAGGCTATAGAGATGAAGTTTTTAGGAAGATTTAAAAACGTTACCAAAATGGATACAATAAGGAACACATATATAAGAAACAAACTGAAAATACAATCTACATTCGAATTTATTAAAGAAAGGCAGCTGAGTTGGTAGGGTTATTTGCAAGGGATGAAGGATACTGTACACGTAAGACAAGTGTGGGAAGTAAAAAACAGAAAGAAGAAGACCAAGACAGACATTGGATAAAGTAATCAGCCACGGGTTTGCTATTTGGAAGACACGGATCTCCCGCATTCTGATTATGTGGTTATTTCATTCTTTTTTCTATTTTTGTAATTCTTTCCAGTATTTTTATCTCTGTCGTTTCCAGTAGCCTTTATGTTACGGCTATGGTGAGTCTTGTTTTTGAGGGATATGTCACTATTGGTCTTAGGTGTCTGTTTCTCCATATAGTGTTCTTAAGGCATCATTCAAGTCTATTTGCTTTTTGTACTTGATCTCTCATTTCTTTATCAAGGTATCTATAGCTAGACAGTGAATTCCAAGTAGTTCCAAGGGAATTTATTTCCATTACTTGTTCAATACTGATGCCATGAATTTCTACTTTACATTTGTTTGGTTCTTTGCTGATTACTATGGTTTTAGTTTTCTGAGATGAGATTATCATATTAAATTTTCATTATGTCATTTCATTAATTAAGTAGGTCAGATATTTCTATCAATGATTTCTAATGCACTCTTTAAGTCGGCCTCTGCTTCAAAGCTGCTTATGGTCAATTTCAATGCTGTCTCTCGTGAATGATTTCATAGAAAACCCGACTGATTGCTAAATTAAATGTGATACTAAGACTAATTTCAATACCTTTCACCATTTTGCCAATTATTCCTAGCTTTTCATATCGATCTTGCTTACTTCAAATTAAAAAAAAAATATATATGCATATTTGGTTTTTATTTATTTTTAAGCAGCTCTCATCATTTTGCTTTTTATGCATTAAGCCAATAATTTGAAACAAGTTTGCAGCTGAGTTTTCCAACTTTCTTAGTTGTTACTATAGTTTATTCCTTTTTTATGTGGTATAAACCCCTTTGCATTTGTCTGTTTTAACATACTTCTTTTATTAATTGGTAAGCCTGTTCATATTAGATGCGGATACACGAGGGGAGAGAAAAGTGAAGGGGAACTTAATGTCTTTTATGTAGTGTAGGTTTCTCTTTTTTATGTCTTTTGCTTGGTAAATCAACCCCTCCCCCCCCCCCCAACGGGCAAATGTCTAGATTCCACCTAATTGTTCTCTGCCCTCTTTCGATATTTTTGCTTTTTGCTATTAATCATGACATGTATGTTATGCATTTCTTAATTTATTCTACCATTTTTTCTATTTCTTCAGAATTTCTATTTCTTTGGCAGGCTCTTGCATAATTACACTTCTCTTCTTTATCTTCTATTTAATTTAACAGCTCTCTTAAGTATATCCTCTTATATTATTTATACCTACTTTTATAATCCTATAGTGTTTTATCTTCCTAAATGTTAATCGTCATATTCAGTAAATATTATTTTAATAGTCTTTTGTAAAATTTTTAATTAGCTAACAGAATAATTTGTTTCCATTTTTTTTTTAAACTACTCATGTGATTTAGAATGCTGTCACATACTGTTTCTTGCATATTTATTTCATTCCCTATCTCTTCTTCAAATTCATTATTTTACATGAAATTTTTTTTCTAGTAATTAAATAATAGTGTCCGTTTTTCTTTGTAATAGTTCCAAATTCTGCAATTATACTAAAACAATTTTTAATTGAACGTGATTAATTGGCAACATTGCACTTAAAGATAACTTAGCAACGAAATCATAATTTTGCAGAGGCGGACCAAAAAAAAATTCTAATGATTTATTCAAACACATAAATTAAGTAGAAAATTAAATCTAAGACCGATATAATTTTTAAATTATCATGTGTCTTTTAACAGGTATCTTATAGTTGTGTAATAAAATAAAATAAAATTCTATTGTTATTACCCATACTTTAGAAAATAGAAAACTTTGAAAAATACTTATTTTTTTATTAGAGTAAACAATCTGAAATTCTCTATTTATAGAATTGCTGTATGCTGTAAACGTTATTTGTTTTTTTTTTAATTAATTTAAAAGTTTCCTTGCGTTTATTTGTTTTACATTACATATAAATTAAAATGAAGTAAGCTAAACTATTATCATGTGAACGGGTGTATATAGTAGTGCATATGTTTATTTCAGTACATTCTCGAAATATTAAATGAAAATGGCACTAACTACTAAAGAGTTAATAGTTTTGTTAAAAGAAGACAGATTGTGAAAATGCTGACTCACTTATGATTGTGGTTTATTTGCCGCCGGAGTTAGATGTAGAAGACATTGATGGTAATATTAAGTATTTGTAAAGAATCGATAACATTGGATACTGAACGTACATATGAAATATAAGTGATTCTGAATTCTGACGATTCTGATTATGATATTCCTCTGAACCACAGATAAAACGTCCAACGAAAAAACCAGGCAAAAATGGTAAATCCAAATTTGTCTCAAGTTGGGTAACAACAGATACTCTTTCGTACTCAGTAGTAATTCAACATTAGTCTGATTTATATTTAGATAATATAAAAGCCAACCATGGAGGCAAGACATATATTGAAGTTTTTTCATTCTTTTTGATAAAAAAGTAATTAAGTGCATTCTATATTTCACAAATATTAATGCATCGCAGAATAACCGTCACGA